TGAGTAACGCGAGACTCCACCGCCATCGGGACGGCTCTTCATTCGAACCCGCCCCCTGCCCTTCGACGAAACTAAGGCGCGAGGATTCCCTCAGCACCCAAACGCCGCTTTCCAACCGACGACCGACAAGCTCACCCGGAAGCAGTTTCTCAAGCGCCATTGAAACAAGATGGCGGCGCCCAAGCAAAGTAGGCCCTACTTTGATCTTTCATTCTTTGCGGCCCGGTACAAAATGATCCACGGACCGGTACCGGTCCGGGGCCCGGTGGTTGGGGACCCCTGCTCTAGGGCATTGATTTTTGTTGTGGGGTGCCGAAAGCGCATGCATGCCGGCGCCCACAATGCGATGCGCCCCGCCCCCCCTGCACATGTGCACGCAACACTCCCACTCCCTTACTGCACTGCGCATGCACACGCCTCCCAGCTGATTTTCAGCCCATTTGAGGCCGTTTTCACCTTCCTGCAGGCTCGAGGGAAGCCTTGGGAGGCTGAAAACAGGCCCGTTTTGGCACTTCTGGTATTTCCGGAAGGCCCGTTTTTCGGCCTCCCGAGGTTGCAGAGGCTTGCCTCAAAATGGATTAAAAACATGAGAATGTTCAAGCTATGATAGACCCCAAACCCCTAACTTCTGGGAGATGAAGTCCATACTTCATAATATCTTCACAATACCTACACATCATAAAGTCCTCACAATGACTAGCAATACTTCACAATCAGGAAAACAAAATCTGCAAGATTTTGATGTATTTGTAGGAAACTAACCGCAGATCAAGCAGAGATTTTGGCTATACCAGTTTTGCTCCAAGAGTTGGAAATTTACATAGGTATCTCACCTCCTTTTACCGCCTCTCATCCTGGAATAAACACTTGTGAGGCAGGTTGAGCTGAAAGAGATCGGTCCAAATTCACCCGGGAGCTTCTGTGGTCCACACTAAACTTTAATCTCTATTATTGCTTATCTGCTTTAAACTCTGCCTTTCTACTCAGTGGAATCTCAGAGTAATTAAAAATAATTAAAATAGAAACTGTGAAAAGCACCTGATGTAGATATCCTAAAGAACCAGATCACAGTATTTCTAAACCAAGGTTTCTCAATCTTGGCAGCTTTCAGATGAGTGGACTTCAACTCCCAGAATTGTTGTTACATCCTCTAACCCCGACTCCTTTAGCCTTAAACTATCCATTATTGACCTCACCCCATTCCTAAGAGGTCTGTAAGGGACGTGCATAAGTGCACCATCGTGCCTACCGTCCCTGTCCTACTGTCCCCATTTATTCGCACCTATTTCCTGTCTTCTTACTCATGTTCTTACTCATGTTTTTAATACTTATACCTATTATCTGGTAAGTGATTGACAAATCAAATAAATAAATAAAATAAAATATAAAAAAAGGAAGGAAGGGGGAAGGAAGGAGAACAGGAAAGGGGAAGGAAGGAAGGAAGGAAGGAAGGAAGGAAGGAAGGAAGGAAGGAAGGAAGGAAGGAAGGAAGGAAGGAAGGGAGAGAAAAGAATGGAGGGAGGAGAGAAAAAAGGGAGGGAGGAAGGAAGGAAAGGAAGGAAGGGGAAAGGAAGGAGAACCAGGAAGGGGAAGGAAGGAGAGAAAAGAATGGAGGGAGGAGCAAAAAAAGGGAGGGAGCAGGAGGAAGGAAAGAAGGAAGGAAAGAAAAGGGAGTGAGGGAGTGGGAGGGAGGAAGGAAGGAAGGAAAGGAAGGAAGGGGAAAGGAAGGAGAACCAGGAAGGGGAAGGAAGGAAGGAAGGAGAGAAAAGAATGGAGGAGAGAAAGGAAGGGAGAGAATACGCATTCCTAAGAGGTCTATAAGGGGCGTGCATAAGTGCACCATCGTGCCTACCATCCCCGTCCTATTGTCCCCATTTAATCGTACCTATTTCCTGTATTCTTACTCATGTTTATACTTACATCTATTATCTTGTAAGTGATTGACAAATCAAATAAATCAAAATTCCCCAGCCAACAACGGCTGGGAAATTCTGGGCGTTGAAGTCCACTCATCTGAAAGCTACCTAGATTGAGAAACATGGATTGAAATAATCAAAAATTATCTCCAAGATAACGGTGTGCAAGAGATTGAGTTGAGGCATTGGTGGACTTAAATACCCAACGTATGAAGAAAAACTCGATCAAAAGAGCATTGTTAAGATAGCCTTGCCCAGAGCATGGCACAAAGGCAACACAGTTAAATAAGCAAGAAGAGTCACTTTATTATCTCCAACTTTGCCCCCAATGTCCAGGTTATCTTCGGCTGGAGAAAAACACTCCCAGGAACAGCCTTTGACTGCAGAAAATTCAGTTCAAAAACAAAGTACATACAAACTGTAACTAAAAATCCAAACAAACCAAGCTGAAGTAATTAACTTGACAGGGCAGGAGAAGGAATTGCAGACTTGAAAGCACAGCAAAACACACTCAGTTGGGAAGATGCCAGGAACACAGATAAGCCTCGACAATACCAGATAATTCACGATTTTTTCCCAACAACTTGTTGTGCGCAGCTTCCCTTTTTTATCCACTGTGTTCCCAGCTGCAGCTAATGAAGGGAATCAGGGCCCTTTCCTCCCCCGTAAGCCACACAACTCACGTTGCTCCCTTCTCCGTCCCTCCCTGAGTGCCCTAGGATGAAGAGGGGGTGGGCCTGGCTCTTCCTCTGAATTCCCTCTCCCTTGCTCTACCTCTCCCCTGCTTTGCCCAGCCGGACTTAGCCCTTCTCCAGTTTCTTCCACAGCCAACGGAGCCACACTCCCACTCCCTGTCAGCTATTTGGCCTCCCACTCTGAATCAGATTCTGACAGGGGCATGACAGGTGACAATGCTGGGGACAAAAGTTTTCCTAAACTCACCGAAAGTGACAGGTGAAGGTAGACACGCTCCATGCCGGAGGCGGAACGCCCTAAGGTGTGCAGGGCTTCTGCAATTGTAGCTTCGTTCAACATACCGTCGAACACGTCCTGCGCATGTGCAAAGAGAAACAGAGGAAGACACAGTGGGGCAGAGCAAAAATAATAGAAATGCAAGATTTGGCGCTTGTAGCTTGGTGAGGGCAGAGGGCAGACTTCTCTCTTGTGTATGATGATGATTATGATGATTACAATTACGATTACTACTATTACTTTTATT